ACAAAGCCATCAGATGAAGTTACAGGGTGTTACTATGTTTAACTGAACAGTCAGTCTTTCAAAAACACATTAGACTCTATATAAGCTGATGTACAAACTCTCTAGTGACCTAAAACTTAAAGTGCAATTAAAACTAAACCTACTATTTTTTATGGCTGTACAGCTTTCCTGTCTGAAATCTTTTATTTAGGTATTTTTTAAAAAAATCAGATTCATTAACTCCATACCCTAAATCACTATAATGATCATGTGTTTCCCACTGATTTTTCAGGCACTACTAATTAGATATGACATTGATATTGCTATTTCAATATCAACATCAGAGTAGAAACTACAATCATGGTACTTCGGAAGGTGAAATTTTAACTGAGTACATTAAGACAAGGCCTGTTCCTCTGCCTGCAAAATGTTTTCATACAGTTCTCAGTTTGTGAAAGGGAGATCTTGTGTAAAGCCTAATTGCAAGGTGTGTTACAACACTGTTGCATGAGACTCTGCAATATTGGTTCTGAAGATCTCGAAATCCAGCAGTGCTAAACTGAAGCTGACACAGCCCCGAGCAACCTCACCACTGCAGAAGACTGACACCAACAATCTCCACACACTCCTTCCAACCTAAATTCTTCTTTCAATTGCATTTATGTGCAAGATGTTTGGATACTGAAGTCAAGTTTGCTGATGGTCATTTTTAGAGCGGATTACAAACCACAATTGAGAAACCCGAGAAAGGCTTAATTACATTAGCAAACTGGACACCATGATGATAAAATCAATTTAACACAAACCAGCATAAGATATTGCATGTTGTATTACACTAATGGATTCAGATATTGTTAGTGGGAAAATATGAACTGCAGCCCTTCCCTGTGAGGAAGAGAATGCTCCTTCATGCTCTGCTGTGATCAAGAAACCAGCTACACACAAAGAAATATTTAGTGGACAGAAGCAAACATTTAGTGGCAGCATGAGACAGCTGTAGTAGTCATGAACAGATTTTTCTTTCAGTATTTATTCTATCACCTCATGAGGAAATAAAAGAATTAAATTCATCACAACAATGATGAGCAAAACAGTTGCTACATAGTAAGAAATTGAGCCTGATAATTAGTCATGTAAGTAGTTTCCAAGTAATATAACTGAGCTACGTACACAGAACACATAGATATGCATACAATAGAGGAGGACGACTTCAACTTACAAGGAGTTTGTTTTCTGTTCATAAAGAATGGTTAGCATAAATTCATTGACTCAATGATTTTTAAAAATAAGCTTTTTAAAACAAAAAAAAAAGCATCTGTAAAATAGCTTTCACAGGGCAAAAATACCAATCTACACCCCCACCTTCCAGCATATGCTGAATAACACAAAAGTATCAAATATTGTATGTAATTTGAAGGTATGAGACATCACATATTTGCTCTGATTCTTCTGGTTGTTTTTAATACAGGACAAAAGAGATTAGACAGGATATGCTACTAGAAAATGTAACAAATTTGTGTCTTACACAATTAGTTTTTGAGGTTTTAAACGGCTTAGTTACAGCAAATAAGCCATGCACTTTATCACACTGCTGACAAACTTTCATTTAATACATGATGTCCCTAATTTGGCTGAGTAATTGGGTACAGTAATTTGGCTTTACACTTCTATTAATATTATCTTGGATATGGAATGACTTCGCAATTAAACCAATGCTATTTGACATGTTAGACCAAATTTAAACATGCCATGTCTAGTACAGTAAAGTCATTGTAGCACAATCTTTTAAAAGATGTTTATTTACCCATACAGCTATAGGCTCATCCACTGCTATGAACAGAGCTCCAAACAAAATAGCAATTGCTCAAACTGATCACTATTGCAGTTATGTATCACATCTCTTCTGAAGGAATAAGCAGGTTACATTCCCCCTGTGCACCCAGGACTTCCATCCACATCAGTGAGGGAAGAGGTACACAAGGCACTTGTGATATGATGGCTTTTGTTAAAACATTCTCCTCTGGTCTCTGCCTGCCAGCTTTATGAAAACTTCCCAAATTCATCAAATTTCTGAGCCCAACTAAAGTTTCAGCTTCAAGAGCCTGACTGCAATATTAACTGTGCTGCCTCAGTATCCTGCTTCACTTTATTGAGATCTAGAAAATCCAGTTCTCACAAACAACCAGAAATTTTCAAGGTTGTACCCAATAAATTTTATTTTCCTTTGTGGGAGGACGTGAACAAGCAGCCTCAACTGTGGCTATAGGTCAAAAGCATCGAAGTGTTCAGCCACACCACAGTACCACTGCTGCTGAGGATTGCATGAACAGACTTCCTCCAGAACACTCTAAATTCTTAGGAAAAATAGAAATTGATGTGTTTCAGTATTATATATTTTCTACAAACACTCTAAATTCTTAGGAAAAATGGAAATTTATGTGTTTCAGTATTATATATTTTCTACATAAAGCAGTAGTTTCAGGAAAACAGCAAACCTATACTGTAGCAACAGAGCTGCCATATGAATAAACCCAATTTACTCAGTTTCTTATGACCAGTAAACCCAGTGTTTCCAACCTCCCTCACAACAAAACAATTCACCACACACTACAGTAACAACAGAGCTGACTAAGAGGTAGAATATTTCCATAGGTTTGTGAAAGCAGCTTTCCAACAGAAACTTACTAGTCTGAAAAGAAGCACTCTGGAAATTGCACTGGTGTCTCATCCATCCTTCCTTTAAAGGCCTTCCATATCAAGTATGCCTAAGGTATTCCTGCCCTCCAAAACTAAACTGAGTCCAGCCAGCAAAGCAGTGTTCTCCTCTATTTTATTCTTTATTAATAACAAGCTTTCCATATCTAGAGACAAACTATTATCTCAACACCACCAGCATCTAAACACTATGTGCCTTTTCAGCATTATAACTATCATCATTTTTGTTCATACACTGGTATAAACATCTAAGATGACAAAAAACAAGGCAGGAACAAGGTTAATTCGTAATTTAAAAAATAGTAAGAGAGATCCCTAGTTTGTTCTCTTGTTATGTTCTTAGGTTAACACTTGCACAAACCTGACTTCATACAGACTGCTATCCCAAAGGCAAACAGCATTGAAATTTCGGTCTGGGACTCAGTAAATAACATTTTGATAATCAAAAAGCAATGTCGTTTACCTCTTCAACTGTGCTGGTTTTGGAGTCTTGGAGAAGTTTTAAGTAATGAGAACTAATTTTCCCATAGAAGCAGCAATTATAATTGACTATGATGAATAAGAGCATAATTTCCATGATGGCTACTTTTCAGAGCAAAATAGCTAATCTACACAGTAGACAATGAGAACGCTGAAAATAACAAATCAAACTAACCAGTCATTCAAAACACTTGGCTTAGTCTATTCCCAAATACAAATTCTTATGTCTCAACATGCATTGGAATAGAATTACTGTTACACGCTCCAAGGTATGTTTTGGAAGACATGTTGGGGGAAATGTGTTATGAAGTCAAACCCATGTAATGAAGTAATAAAACTTGAGAAAGCAAGCACTTGTATCAGATGTGAGCAGGTGGATGACCTTCTCAGCCTTGTAGCAGAGTTACAGGATGAAGTAGAAAGGCTGATGAGCATTAGAGGATCAGAGAGGGAGATTGACAGGAGGGACAATGCTCTGGCCTCCCAAAGACAAGCAGAGACCACAAACAATTCACAATCATGGGGATCATCCATCCATCCCCCAAGCAAGGACCGAGCACCAGTAGTTAAGGAAAAAGTGAATGGAGGGCAGCCCATACTCATGGAAGCAAACAAAATCCCTCTCTGCCCTCCTTACTCCCCCAGGAACTTCTGAAAAATAGGTATGAGGCTTTGTGTGCTGAAGAACAGCTTAAGAATTGTTGAAGTAAATATACTTATGACATTACAGGAAGTACTGCAGGGGGAGCACAGGGACAGAAAGAGGTACACATGGCAATAAACACCTTTCCATTCCTAATTATGCTACCTAGAAATTTTTACCAAAAATACATACCATTTTTGCCTTGAATAAAAATCAGCAAGATGGGAATCCTAGCAAACAGCCCTTATTATATTTGTCCAGCTCAGGCTCTCTTTTGTTTCCATTTAAATCATTAACACTCATCATACTAAGGTTTTTTAAAATACATAGAGCTTATGAGCAAGTTTTACTCAAGGCAGCTCATAATAACCTTTTTCCCAAATCCACATACCTTTATATTCATATCCAAAATTATCATTGTTAATGTTGACTGTTTTCACTGGGAGTATCTCACTCCCCATCACATTTTCTCCCTCCATAAAGCAGGCATCACCCTGTCATCCAATTCCCTTGTTCACATGTTTTAAATTTAATCAGAATACCTGAGGTGTCAATAATCATGTTTGCCTTTCTGACAAGAATCAGAAATGGAAATAAAGCTCACACTGCATAACAATAATGTAATCTGCAGTGCTGCATCTGAACAACTTACTTTTCAAGAAGCCTAAAGCAACCTCCTCTTATTTTAAAACATATAAAGGAAATCAGCCTTTTGAAACCAAATTTAATATGCCAAGAAAATTGATTCAAATACTAACTAATAAATTAGTTAAAAGCCACCAGGAAAGATGCCAGGATCCTCTCTCAAATCATCAGCATCACCTTTCAAAAACATACTTCAATTAGTCAAAATTAAAATGGGAGGGGGAAAATGTCACTATTATGATGGATATTTATTGCTAATATAATTAATATTTCCCCATGGTTGCTTAAAACAGCATTACTAAAACAGTTTTAGCTGCAAAGTTGGACAGTACTACATAGCCTGGAGTGCCCTCTTTCTTTTCCAAGAGGAATTTCAGGGAAATATTCTGTTCATGAAGATGTCAGTCATTTGTTTCTTGGAATGTAAAACAAAATAGATAAATAGACTGAATTAAAACATGAAGGCAGTTCAGCATAACTTAAGCCATATTCTTACAGGGATGATGAAGTGGTTCTATCCTGACAAAAAGATACTTACAGAGCCATCTGAAATTGTTCAAGCCATTTTTTCTTCAAGTCTTTAGTTTTGCAATAAACTTCTAAACCGTTTTCACCTTGGATATGAATGAGGTAGAAGCCATAAGACCACTGCATAAAAAGATGGGCAATACAAAGGTCATCAGTTACGAGGAAAGGAAAAGGAAAAAACTAAAAAAACCTAATCATTTGCATGTTCTTTAACTCACTAATTTTGGGAACAGCAAGACCACATTAATACATTCTCTTAGCATGACTTACACAAATTTTAATGGCATCAAAATAAGCAAAATTGACATTCCTAAATATTCATTTCAGCTTACATTTAAAACATAAAATTTCTTGAGGTGTTTAAGGAGAGACTGGACGTGGCACTTAGTGCCATGGTCTAGTTGACAGGGTGGTATTAGGTCATAGTTTGGACTCTATCTCAAGAGGTCTTTTCCAACCTGATTTATTCTGTGATGCTGTGATTTACATCCTAAACTTCTACAAAATGCTTCAAATTGTTGCTAAAAAACACACATTTTATATGAATTAGCAATGAGTATTTACCTTCTTATTTTCTTTATCAGTAGTGGGGTTATTTGTAATTTTGTATTTCTGAAGATCTATTATTTCCTTCATTTCATAATTATCACCTCTCCGTTTGCAAACAATTACAGCTAGATCAAACAGGAAGATGTGCCTATGAAAATACAATACAGAGATGGTTAAAAACACTCCAAAAAGCCAATGCCAGAAGTCTTATTTTACACGACTTTGCCAGTGGCACTTGAATGTTTTGAAGGTGAAAAACTAAACTACTGAGTAACAAAACAACAAACGCTGAAAGTGCTTTTGCTCAAGACTTAGTATTTACAACAATGTAGTAATCTTAGATAATAATGTAATAGCTAATTTTCCATTAATCACTTGGTAAATTCACTTGTAAATGATGGACAGGCTCTATGAATGCACAGAGAAATGGAAAGTGCTCAACAACCACAGAGCTGGCCTCAAATCTAAGAAAAGACCTACTTCACTGGTTTTTAAAAGCAAACACCAGAAGTCATGCCATCACCTGTCTTGCCTCGCACGTTTGTCTAATGTTGTTATCCTTATTTCACCATCACCTTGAGGTCTTCCATACTGTAAGAGGGAATGATTCTGAAACAAAAGTAATACATATGATTCAATACAGCAAGAGCGTGAAGATCATGACATACTCAAATGTTAGACTACTCACTCCTTTTACCCCCAAAAAGGACTTTTCAGGCCAGAAAATATCTTTTCCTCACTACCATCTAAACTAAATACTATAAAGAATCAGTCCAATCTACTTTTGTCTTCAAATGGGAAAGATTTTCCCATTGCAAAGACACCTGAGTCTCTGTACAAATACAACCCTTTAACTATGCAAATATATTTTACTAGATACCCAAAATATCAGAGATTTATGAACTTTAATATTCATGTCATTCTAAATCAAGCAAAGCATACTTACTTAAATATTACCAAGAGTACTATAATCTCATATGAAATGAGGAAAAAAATACATCCATATTTTTGATATCAAGTCATTTAAAAAACTGTATATAAATTAAAAACATCACATACCAAATTCTCTATTGAGAGTTGAAACTGCCTAATTTCACGAAGCGTTTCATTATCTCTCTTTACTTCATTTACATACTGAGCCAAGTCCTAGATATCAACAGCAAAAGAGAGGAAGAAAATAACTTTTCTGTAACAGACTGCTTTATTACATTATTTTGACAAATTTATTTCTAATTTTTTCTTTGACTTATCTGCATATTTAGCAATTTGTTAACATTCGAGAATTATCAATACATATGTCTAAATAAAGAAAGAAGCCTTTGCATATATTCAATAATATTTACAACTCTCCATGATATCTATTGAAACACAAATTTACTATCAACAAAGAGGGAAACGAGCAATAAAATGCAAAAAAGGAATGATTTTTTTCTGAGTTTCATTAATGTCTTATTTTCAAGACCCGAGATGGAAATGAAATTTATGAAGCACATTGCTGAAGAAGCAGTCAACAACATCCCATATATATCTGAGGTAAACAGAAACATAAATAGAAGGCAAATAGAGCATATAGTAGAAAATATATATAAGGCAGCTCAAAAGCAGAATGTAAGGTGTAAATACACCATGAACCTGAGTGCTCAGAAGAGAAGCAGCTACAGCCCCAGTAGGATCTTGCTCTTACTGCTGCACAGCAGAGAAGCAGCCATTACACAGCAAATTTTAAAAAGGGCTTTTGATGGGAAATACTACCTGAAGTCACAGGTTGACATCATTATTGTGCCCTTTACCAGAACATGTACTGTACACATTTCACTAAAGCCTTTAAAATGCTCTGAAAATGCTTTAGTAATAGTGACAATTTGCTGGGGCTTCTCTGTTTATGGCTAGAGATGAGGAGAGAGCAGGAGAGGTAATTGGTAAGGTCAGGGATGCTGAGAGCAGCAGTTGGTGAAAGCATTCTGATCTTCATAACTTGCTTTTACAGTATCCCTTCAATATGGTCACAAATTTGGAGAGTGGGAGGAAGACATATCTTCTTCCTAAAATGTTTTTAATCAGAATCTATGAATAGCTGCAATCATTATGTTAGCTTCCCAAATGAATCTGGGCAGGACACATTCACATCACTTTTGTAAGAGGTAGTTCAGAAATTAAATAACCTCCTTTCTTGCTGCTAAAAGAAAGCCAACAGTATAATGCTTCCTAGAATTTTCTACCTTGGGGGGCAGTACCACTTTGCTGGCAGTTTTTCCAAAGATATTTTCTTTTTGAGCAGATACCAGAGTTTTTAGAAGCAAAACACCAATGCTACATGGTTACTTCTACTACAGCGGCAGGAATTATTGTACCAGGCTACAGTGAATCAGGATGGGAACAACACTGCAACCTTAACTAGAGATGTTCATACCAGCGTTGGATTGTAGGTGGATTTTTTTTGTTTTAATTGTCTGGTTACATCGTGCTAGCCAGCACGTATCTACCACAGCCACTCTGGCAAAAGAGTTCTTTGATTTTCAGTCCAACAGGCACCAAAAACAATGAAGCAAGCCAGCAAATGGCAATGAAGAAACATGGATAAATAAAAAACACGGATATTTTCCTAGCCAATAAGCAGCAGTCAGTATGTATGGCTTGCCACTAGATGGAAGCAACACTGTGCCATCCAATTTCAAGCATCCCTCCAGGGGAAATGATCATGGCCTCTTCTCTGCATTCACTGCACAAAAATAGATGACAAAAAAGGGGAACCAAAAATCTCATTTGTCAGTTGGTCTGTATTCCCAGCATTCAAGGCAGACAGTAACATAATATGAGACAGCTGTGTGACCCAAAACTAACTTAGTCTGACTTCAGCGTCATCTGTGGACCATACAGATTACAACAGAGGGAGATATAACCCATGTCATGTTGGTTTCTCTCCTCCTTTGCACCACCAAGGACAGAAAAAACATGCCCCAATTCCAGCACATGAATGTCACCATTCATGCCATGAAGCAGAACTGTGCTTTGTTTCTGAAGCTGTGCAGAGAAACACAACATATTACTTGATACATAAGGCAGCACAGCTATTCTATAAAGCATTTGTTTGTACCACTTGCAGGTGAATGTACAGTGACAGACAGTCTACCTCAAGAAAGACACTTCTGCTTTCAAAGGTAAAGCCAGAGAGACCATATTAAGATGACAGGGGAAAAAAAAGTCTTGTAAGGACTGTCTACAAACTGCAAACCACCTGTTTTTCACCTCATTAGATGACAGCAAAATGATGCAAAAGTAAACTGAAATAGGAAAGTTCCATTTCACAAGCCCTCCACTTCAGAAAACTACTGAACCTGTTATTCAGACTTGAGCAAAGCCCTTGACTATATACTTGCCATGACATACAAAGCTCACGGTGATCTGTGAAAACATGTTTGATTTGTCGTGAAGAACAGGAAGTATAGTTCTGAGCTATCATTTTAACTGCCAACAGACAAACACTTCATTGCCATGAACACTCACCTTCATTGCATCAAGTGCCAGTTTTAGATTTGCCTTTTCCATGGGATCAGTAGTGTGCTTTACCAGCTCCTGTGGACAGAGCAGTTAAAACTTTCCATCCACAGTTTGTCAGTCTAAAAACTGAAATTTCAATTGCTCATTCCCACCCCCCAAGAAAAAAAAAAATAGAAAAAAAGAAGCCAAAACCAGAAAACACAACCCAGCAAATGGCATTTTCATCTCCTCAGTGAACAGCCTACCACTGACTGAGTGGGGACTGCTGCAAACAGATAAATGGCAAATGCTTAAGAATGATTGCTGTACAGCCTAAACACTGACTTTAGGTGCTAATGAACCATCAGGAGAAGCTCATTTGGTCCGTCTAGCACTTAAAACTTGCCAAATCAGATCATTACTGTATGTGCATGCTGAAAGCCCAGGTAAACACTCGAGTTCATTTGCTCACTGCTCTATGGTATATCATCCCATTCCAAATCATGCACTTGTCCACAGAGGGGGAAGCATGAGAGCAATAAAGGCTCAGCTAAACTGGGCACTGTTTAACAGAAGTCACTGTCTCATTTGACTTAAGATAATGCTGGCTCAGAACACATAATTGAAATCAAATGTAGATGTTCAAAGAATTCTTTTCGCCCCTTCCACTATGGAAAATAAAGGGGCTTTTTTGGATTTTATGAATTGAAAATGTAACCTCTTGGGGAAACAGGTTATTTCTTCCTTATAGTTTGAGAAGAGAATTATGCATTTCCACTAATGTGGCAGCTTAGTAAAACCACAGAAAAGGAAAGAATAAGTGTTACTACTTCCCATTACAATTCTAATAATTTGCTGGATTTCTTCTTTCCAAGCCTGTGAAATGCTTCTTTCTTGTGTGACATATACTATAGTGTCATACAGAGCAAAATGACATGTTGTATATCATCTTTATATAATATACAGGTTGATTACAACATCATGACTCAGATCTCATGCTTTTTTTAAAAAACTTGTACCATTCATTTTGCTTTTTCCAATTTTCCATTGATCAAAATATTGATGACTCATTTATAGAGGTATCTCAAAAAATTAATATTACAGAATGTATGTTGTTCTGCAGAGTCAAAATTATGCTTCACATACAAGTAGTACATCTTTTTAAAATGACATTTCACAAGTATCAGCAGGGTTGACAGTCTAATATAGTAATACATTTCTTTGCAGCTGAACTAATGAGTCTCCTGGCACAGCTATCAAATTAAATTTATAAGACTCTCCACCCTTATTACAGGACTAACTGCAAAAGTTAATGCTTTGTGGGTTATAACAAGAACCATTTCAAAATAAATATGTCTTTATTGTAATTTATGACAGCAAAGAAGTACCTTAAAAGTATGCTGCATGTATGGCCCAGCTTCCTCTTTTGGGGGGGGAATGGTTCACGTTTCCAAGTACCACAATTACAGTTTGGTACCACTAACCATTTTAAACATACCAAGAATAAAAGATTCAGATAATGAGGGAAGAACCATATTTTATTCCTTTCCCCAGATATGCTTCAGCTCCAAGGAACAATCTCTGTGAGAAACCCTGCACTTGACTGAATTTTTATTTCATAACAAATGGAGGGAAACATCAATCACCTTCCTCTGATAAAGACATTTAGCTCTCATTCTTACAATCCCCTGATGATAAACCATCATGCCTTTGCTCTCAGCCCCCCTAAAATTCAAAATTAAGATACCTGGAGCAGCAGGTGATATTTTAGCACTCTCTGCATTGGAACCACTAATAGATCCCGCAATGTAAATTTCCCATTATTGGCCCTCTTGGAACATTCCTAGTTCAAAGCAGAAGAAAGAATAAGACAACAGAACTAGAAAATAAAACACACACATAAAAATTCAGTGATATATAAGCAACTTCAATAATCTTATGATAAAGAAGACTAACAAAACAAAGGAAAACATGCATGAGAGAGTAAAACAAAGGTAACAGAAAATAGGCATTCCATACAACGAAAAAATATTTTTAATATATCTATTTTAAATTAAAATAATAAAATGACAGAAAGGCAAAAGGTAATCTTGGAAGTGATAGGTCAGTCAGTCTCACTTCAGCCCCTGCAAAAATTGTGGAGTTCTTTGAAGCATTTTCCGGGCACACGAAGAAGGTGTATGGGAATATCCAGTATGGATTTACTAGAGGTAAATCAATGCTTGACCTACTTGGACTGCTTTCTGCAATGAAATGGCTAGATCTATAACTGGGTGGGGATAGTCTATAGTGAGTTCTCCAAGGCTTTCAACATCATCTCTCAGAGTATGGTAATATTCAGGTTGGGATGTTACACTCCAGATATATAAAAAACTGACTAGATTATGAGGCTCAAGCAGTGCAGTGGCTAATGCTTCCTACACTACGTGAGAAACACTTGCAAATCTTGCTCTTCAGGGCTCTGTCCAGGGCCCCCTCCCTTTTAGTGTCTTTAGCCATGATCTGCAGGAAAATACACAGGACACCCACAGGAAGTCTGCAGACACCACCAGATTGGAGGCACAGCTGGCACCCCTCAGGGCATGTCCAACAGAAATCCCACATGAAGGCAGCAAAGCAAAGGCAAAGTCCTTCACCTGTTATGCACTAGCCAGGGTCACACTAACCCCGAGGGCTGACCAGGCAGGGAGCAGCTCTGCTGGAAATGACCCAGCAGTCACGGCAGACAACCCTGTGAGGCTATGGGACAAGGGCTTGTTAAACCTAGAGGTCTCCCCTAACCTGTGTGAGTCTGCAATTCTGTGTTCTAGCTGAGATGTCATCATAAACAGAAGGGTGTCACTTCCTGAAAGAAAACACTAACTCCACCCATGTCAGCTGCTAAATCCCATTCACCCAGATGTGTACTGCAACAGTGCACATATTCATTTGCTCACAGGCTACAAAAGAATATCAAGGAAAAGAAAACACATTCACTTCTCAGTCCAGCTAGTTTGGTTATCATACAGTTTATGACTACAATCAAAGCAAGGCATAGTCATAAACTAAAGTATGTATATATACATGTTAAGAAACACTGATACCTCTAACTTCAATTTAACATCTTCTTTTGTCTTAGAGATATTGTCCAAGCATGATATTGCTATCTCCACTTGACTGCAGTACTGTCCATAAATAACCAACCTAAAACAAAGGAAGAGATAAAGAATAAAAAGAACATTTGCTTATTTAAGAACAATCCTAGATTTTTTTTTTCCACAAATAGATGGTTAACCAACCCTCTTTCAAAAGGACCAGTGCTAAACAAACAAGGACAGAATTTAGCCACAGTGCTCAATGGGCAGCTTGAATACAAGGAAGACTAATCAGGAGAATATAGTTTTGCTGTATCTTCAAAACATTCTAAAGTCACTGCAATTTCCTTTAATATTCACATATATATACATTCTGATCAATACAGGATTCGTTATAAAGCAGCCTAACTTCTGTTTAACAGAACAAACAAAGTGTAGTATTTACACCAAGGCTGTAATGAATAAATTCTGTAGCACAGGCTTAACAGGATTAATTACAGACATCCTTTAAAGGACTTGTGGGTTAGCCAAACTGATCCATCTCCAACGGTTTCTATCAGGTTATATTCTGTGAGCTCTCAGATCAAAATAATACTGTATGAAAACTCAAGGCATTTTCAATAGTTATCAAGGGAGGCAATGCTTCTGAAGGAGCCTGGGCTTATGACAGGAATTTCCTGCCTCTGCTAGGAGAGATTCTTTGTGCTAGTCCCAGTGCACAGAGTGCTCTTTGCTTTTTAACTTTTCATGTAGTTCTTGAGGTGATCCCTTCCGTACGCTTCAAATCCTTTTTTGGGGGTTCCTATTAGCTTTCCACTGTAAGCCTCTGAATTTAATACGCTTCAAATCCTTTTTCGGGGGTTCCTATGAGCTTTCCACTGTAAGCCTCTGAATTTATTTTTCTCTCACCTAACCTTTACCCTTTTTTAAAAAAAAAAATTTTTGCACGATAAGGTAATGATACTATTAAAACTTAGCATTCCTGATTACTTTTAATCCTTACATGGTTAAGACACTGACTCTACTCCTTTCTCTTTTTTTTATAATATAAACTTGATATCTCTTCTAGGTGTCCTTTGTTCCCCTTTTAACACACATTTCAGAACAACTTCTTGTCCTCTAATTCCCCCCTATAGAAGCAGAAAGTCTAACAGCCAGGGAAATAACTATGTCCTGCTCCAAAATGAAAGCTGAGACAGAGGGTCTCTGAAGGCAGGACTCTTTATGGGCAGTCTGGGACAGCCTCCTCCCTCAGAAAACTCTCCTGTCCAATGTTTTCCGGATGCTGCTGCCCAAGTTCTCACAAGCCTATTATTACTGCAACAATCCTCCTTCAGCCATCACCCTCAAGCAAACTCAACTAGCTCCCTCATGTCTTTCCCACTCTGGTCCCGGAAGGAACTAATTTTTAAGCAAAACCCAAGGGTTACTTCAAGGTAGGTCAGCACTGTAGCCCACAGCACAAGCATTTTTCAGCCAAGTACAACAGGCATATAAGTTCACCTATATAGTCCAACAGAGCTGTTCAGAGCTGGCAGAAGGAACAATCTCAAAAAGGCAGGAAAAATACTGGCAATTAGCCTACAGGGCATGGCATGCTGCCACAGCTATCCTGTTATCAGCCTGGCTGGTTTTCACAGCTTGGAGGCAAAGGTTGTTTGCTTTACTGTCATGTCTTTGACTGCAGGGTAGGGTAAGACTAGACTCTTCTCTCTTCACTTTTACACCTGCTTTCTCTTCTTTCAAGTTATTACCTCTTCTGTTTTTCTTTAGCCTGAGATATCCCTAATACATATCCTTGCCTTATTTTGCCCCTTCTTGCCCTTTTCAAACTTTTATCTGTTAAATGATACAGGTACATGCTACAAAACATCTGAGATTGTTTGCATGAAAAAAAAAACCTCAATGTAAAATAAGATACTTAAGTTTCCTTAAAAATATGTTACCTGTCTATGAAACAATATTGCCAAAACTGGAGTAAGAAGAGGGATATATACATATAATAATAGGTTACATTTTTACTTCCTGGCTCAAAACACCAAAGCTAGCTTAATAAGGATAATTACATTGAATTTAATCCTGTCTCAGTAATATTCATCAAAGAGAAATACAGTAAAACACCAAATTGAGCACATATTATCACAATTAGTAACAGTGCATAAATCTTACCTTTCCTTGTAGCTAATAAAAATTTGATACAGGTTCTGATCATTTTTGTTAATAATGGAATCATTGATGTCCTGTGTAAGATTCCTGTGAATTTTCACCAAATCCTTAAAAACAGTAATGGGGAAAGGGAAAGCTTTGTAAAAACAGAATGGCTTAAAGCTTTGAATATAAAATTAAATTATTTCATGTTAGACCCATTAATTTCAATCAATTGGAAAACAGATCATTTGAGAGCAGAATCTAATTTCAAGGTTTGCCACATCTTCTATATAGTGCAACAAGAAAAACTAAACTCCAAGAACTACCTATTAGAGACTAATTTATTCCAGCTTGGAACGTGCACTGTTAATTCACCTTCATTTTATAATGATAATTTTAAAATTAAGCAAGTCAAGTAAATGCTTTAGTGACAAGATGAAGTAATGATTCATGTCCCTGAGCTGTGAAAAATTAGTTTTGTACATTACATTGGTCAATTAGTGATGTTCTAATGCTAAATTAACTGCAATCATAATGAGTTTCCCAATACAGCACACAACCAATGTCTGAGAAAAAGAAAAGAATATTGCAGAAAGATTCGTTCTGATTATATTTGCAACTCGACCTACTTGTTCACTATTATACAAATGCTACAGGAGATTGCATCAACCTTAACACTGACACTATCCAGTTACATGGATACTGTCAGAGAATTCACAAGAAATTAAGTCATAAGAAGTCAAAAAGTTTTGAAATCAGGGTAACTCTAAGCAGTGGTCAGACCACCTCAATGAAAAGTGGAGGACTGTTTATAAGAACAAGCCATCAAAGATGATTTAATGCAGTAAATCATAGACTACGAAATAATATGCAATGTTGAGTTGTGAACCAAGTTTAAACATTTCACTTCATGCTGATGCAAAGACTACACACAAGGTCAATCACATCACAGATGAGGGAAACAGATTTCAAGCAGATCAAATTCAGTTGCTAGCAAGTGTCTGGCCATATCCTCAGAATCTTAAGTTGCAGTAGACAAAGATGCTATTTCAGAAGTGCTTCCTGATTATTACATGAGGACATTTTCTCAGGAGTGCACAGGGGCTCAACTAAGCAACACTCCTGAAAAACAGCTTAATGCTAAGGAGACAACATGGCTTTTTGAGTTTCTATCTCCAATTCAAAGTCAAGTTTCATATTAAATTGATGTTAACATAAGAAGTTAGTGAAAGTTCCAACACTTCAGTATCTGTTACACCTACTTTCATCTCTTTCTCTATGTCCATACATACATCTCAATTCAAATGCATAAGTGAACATATAAATGCATCTATAGATGTGTGTACATGTATATACATCAATGTACATACAAATGCATGTGTGTATATACAAATAGATATCAACATACACAAACATAGAGCTATCATACCTTTTACAGGACAGAACTCTGAGGTATGAGCCCTAATGAAAGGCACTCTTTTTAGACTGGTGAATAGTTTGAGATAATTGGTTTAGGGCTTTTTTTTCTTAGAAATAAAATACCTTAACATCAGCAGCTGATTTTGTCCAGCAAGCATCTTTTAGAGTCTACTTAAGGAATATAGCATCACCCTGAGAAAACAATCCTTTACCACAACACTTTAACAGAGGAAAATCCATCCTGTTATGAGAACACAGCACCTGCTCTCCACATTGCAGTTTGCTGCAGAGCTCTGTGTAAGGGCTATTTTTAGTTTAAAACAAGCTTCCACTGCCATCCAGCCTTCC